TTTAAATTCAAAGTTTATTCAACACTTTTCATAAAAACATTTAAAACATACAGATACAGAATGGAGTTATAAAATATAAAAAAAGAAAGTGATAACAAAAATACAATGGCAATTTATAAGAGCATTTGGGATAGGCAGAAAGGAGGGAAGTTCTTTTAATATATAAAAGTCTACCCCTAAAAACAAACAGAACACAAAACAAAGAACATATTAAAACTTACTATCATGCACGATCAGAGTTTTAAAAATGTCAAAAATTTGCCTATGTTATTGATACTGATTATTATACTTGTTTAATTATGGTTGGATTGTCCTTTAAATTCAATTGTAAAACGAAGTGAAAATACTCCAAATTGCGTGACCAATACCAAATGTATTTACACGCTGCGTAAGATTTAGAAAACAAAAACACACATACACAATCTACTTAAACCTCTCATTTTCGGGGCACGAATAACTCTGGAAAAAAACCTAAACCCAGTTACTATAAATTCCATACCATTGTTATCGGTAGAGTATTAACAAATCTTGAATCTTTAAACGGTGATTCGTTTCTTCTCCCTCTTTTAGGAAAGTATAGTTTGCAGCAATACTTGCATTCAATAATCACTGTTACAAATTTGTCTTTATATGTGTATTTATTCAAAGTTTTTAAAATCCATACAAGGCTGCATTCCCGATGACAGTATTGATGAAATTATAAACAAACAGATAAGCAAATATAATATAAATTATCATGAAGAATAGCTTGGAAACATACAAATGCAACGACAAAGCATATAAAATGTAGAAAATATTAGAAAAACATCATCATAGAAGCAAAAACTGATACTATGTCAATGCATCAATAAAAACGGTACGAATATATTCAATTAATCTCAAAGTAGCGAAAACAAAATAATCAAACACAAATAGGCTTAAATAACGTTGACAGAACTAGTTTTATATTGAAATGTATTTATACGTATATATATATATATACGTATATATATTACATATATTTTACTAAAGGCATCATTAGAGGGACATTTGGAGTGAAAAATGTAGTCATTAAGTAGACATTATCATTAGGAGGACAATATAGTGTCTTCTTAACGTTTGTTAGAAGGCCCAATTTGTTTATATATCTCTCTCTATATAATTTCATTAAAAGCGTCATTGGAGGGACATAAGAAGTGAAAAAATGTGTCATTAGGTAGACATTAGGGCTAGGGTTAGGGTTAGGGTTAAAGTTAGGGTTAGGATTTGTATGATGTCCACTTAATGTACCATGTAGGGTTATATATGTAATATATACATGTATACACTGTCGCCTATAGAATTGGAAGAATTTTTTCTGATGTAATTCAATAAAATAATTGTAATTTCTGTGACCCTTAAGATGAATCAAACTTAAGTTCTGAGAATATAAAACTTAATCTTTCAAGAATAAACCATTTACAAAAACAATCCTTTTATAAAAAGAGATACTATGAAAATGTTTCAACTTGTTGGGTACATTATTTGTAACTGCTGAATGAAAACATTCGTATCAAAGCGCTTCACAAAGGCTTATTCATGAATGTGGGACTTATGGAAGAGTTAATTTGATTGAATTGGTTACCTTAAATCTATTGATAAATATTTAACTTTTGTAATTAAAGTATTATGTGCTACAGTGGTTCTTACGCTGGGTTGTAGATTAAATTATACATGAACATGATTTAAAGATTATTTAGACATTATTTAACTTCGAAAACAATTCGAATGAATAGAAATAACAAACAAATTAACAAATAAACGAATGAATGGATGAAGATTTGAACAACTAAAGAAAGATTTAGATGAATAAATGGTTTGGAATGATAATAAACAAGTATTTTCCAAGTTTTAGATATAAGTGTGTTAATTACTTTAATATCAATGCCAAACACATTTCTATAGTCTAGATTGATTTGCATGCTCGTGTCTGTATTATTTTTTCTTGTCTCCGAAAACTTTTTAAATTAAAATGATTTCAAAAATGGTTTTTTTTGTTTGTATAAAGATGCGGATAAATCTTAAAATTATCGATTTCAATATAATTACATGAATTGGAGAAGGACTGTACATAGTAGAAGCGTGTTATTTATTTATTGACCTGTGCATTAAAGGTAAATCCAGCCTTGACCGCAAACTACTCTACAGTGTGAGTACAAAAAAACAGGTTACATCTAGAAAATTGCTAACTATTATAAAAATCATCTATGAACAGTAAGTTAGTATCTATTATATAAAAGAGTGTTTTATCCCCAATCATTTGGTATCATTTGTGTGTGGTATGTGTTCAAGTTTGGGTGAGTAGGAGACATTTTTTAAGAGAGTGCAAAAATCTTCGGCCAAAGTATTGCTGATGAGCTGTTGGAATAAAACAAATGGGATTGGGCCGGTCATTAATTCGGTCTTTGTAGATTCCATTAACATCCCTAATAAAATTAATCATGCCACACATATCAAATATCAAATGACAACCATCAAATAACATATGTGTGTGTGTGTGTATTTGAATTTGGTTCTGCAAAAAGCATATGCAATGCATCTCATTTGATACATTCAAATAATTTCATCACTTTAATACTTTTGCGCAAGTCGAATATGTGTAATACTGCTCTAGCGTCGAAGGCTACAGACTTTCATATAGAACAGGTCCCTGTTTCATAAATATTTTATCAATAACAAATGCTAACTTTCTATGACAAATTTTGCTCTCAGCCAATTGAATGCCACGATTTCAGAAGCGTATAACAATTAATGTAACCTGTTATTGATAACAAGTTTCACGAAGCAGGGCCCTGGTAGGCTAAAAGTTGTTCACTTTTCATATATTATAGTCGGTCATGGACCCATAGGCATGATGATGCCAGACGTATCATGTAAAAGGTTCGCATGTAGAAAATTCATCAAATAATCTTTAACTTATCAACCTGGTTGACTGACGTAGTAACCTCTCCAAAAAAACAATCCATGACTTCATTACGTTAAGTTTTTACCTGTCAATAAAACAAACGCAACAACTGAACGTTTTTTAAAAAAAGGCCACCAACTTTATTTCATCAATTCACGTAATCGAAGTTGAATGCTTTTCTTGAATATATTTGACAGAAAGAGTAAGTGATGACGCTGTGACATTTTCCAAGTATTCTTCCGATGTTTATTTCATATGTCAATTTGAAGTCTAATTTGATATCACTTTCGTAACTTTTAAAGATAAAGGTGGGTTCTGGTAAAAAAAAAAAAAAAAAATTCTCACAGAATCAAACGAAACTTTCACTGAATGTTCAAGATTACAAATATATGTCATTTTCCAAACAATTTTGGTAGAAAATGTATACTGGCTGAGTAATGAGCATAGACAGATTAGGAAATCAGGGTTAGTAACCCCAACACCATTTGTGTAGTCCCATATACATCTTTCTGTGTACAGTGCTTGTTACTTTACACAGACTGGGCCAAATTTATATTTTGATTTTGATGACCTTATAACTTTGCAGTACACACCAATACTTACATGCTACATGATCAATTTTATCTTTCACAATGCAATCGGATTACCAGAACCCACCTTTATCTTTAACAAGTGCAATTGTACTATCCTAAAGCTAGTCATGCGCATTATTTATTCTTCTAACGCACTGACCTGAGAGTGGCATTCTTAGTTTACCTTCTTCACACTTGTATATTACCTTCTTCACACTTGTATATTACCTTCTACACACTTGTATATTACCTTCTTCAAACTTGTATATTACCTTCTACACACTTGTATATTACCTTCTGCACACTTGTATATTACCTTCTACACACTTGTATATTAACTTTCTACACACTTGTATATTACCTTCTACACACTTGTATATTACCTTCTACACACTTGTATATATTACCTTCTAAACACTTGTATATTACTTTCTACACACTTGTATATTACCTTCTACACACTTGTAAATTACCTTCTACACACTTGTAAATTACCTTCTACACACTTGTATATCACCTTCTACACACTTGTATATTACGTCTAATTGTTAAAAAATGTTCTTATCTTTATCAAATATTCTATTATCATTCATTCATTTATTCATTCATTCATATTCCACAACTTGTTCGAGTTTGTGATAGATACTTTCATTGATTACAGATTTGCTAAACAACTTACAGAGAATGGTTAACATATGACAGATTGAGAACTAGAACAACAAACTCATGGGGAAATGTGGAGGGGTCTACAAAGAACATTAGTGTAAGTTAAATATAGTCCCATGAATTAACACAATTATTCGGCTATGTATATTAAACAAACACAACAATATATATGAACATTGTATACAACAATTAAATGTGAATATTGTTGAGTTAGAGCGGTGAAAAACAAACAAAGCAGAATCGTCAAACACGCAAGATTTACGCCAACGTACATTAATTACCCTTATAACATGTAAGCATGAATATTAAAGCTTCGGTTGGCTACTATGTATGTGTAATTATTTGAACAAGATATATTTAGGTTCATTAAATGATTAATACGTCATTATTGTTCGAGTTGACTGATTTGATAATCAGGAGGGTTATTCAACGTCCCTCCTTCAACTTTTTTTCGGGGGATAGTGCCCCCCCCCCCGTAAGATTTGAAAAAAAACGGTAACAAAAAGTGCAACACACTTATAGGCTGTGGAGGGACCAAGTGTGCAACGTTTAGACTAATGAACATGCAAAATCCTTCTCGCTCGGTCGCTATACGCTTCCTCTCATAACATCCTTCAAAATGTACAAGAAAATAATTAAAAAAAATCTGTATTACGTTGGTATCCCCGTGATACCAACGGAATACAGAGTTCCCTCGCATTTCGCCCCCCCCCCCAACCCGGTCATGAAAAGAAATCGCTGCCCCTGACACTAAGGGTCAATAGCTATAGTAAAGGCCAAGGGTTAGTTAGTCAGCGTAAGCTTTTGGCCGTAGAGTAATAGTTGATGTATTTGTTTCCAACAATTAAAGACGCTCTGATTGATTGTGGATTTAGCTGTCTCGGGCTTTGAATAGTTTGAGAAAATCTTCTCTTGTTTTCAGAACATTGCCGTCAGATAAAAATACGGAACTTGGAGTGCGATGCTCTCAGACTTGCAACCAAAATATTGTCACCCTGTTCGCCCTGTTCGTCGGAAGATATGCATAGTTCTGTCCCTAAGAGAGAAGGAGAGACGCAGAAAACATGTTAGAAAGAGGTATAGCGGGGAATGACAGTGAGAGGGGGGGGGGGGAGAGGGAGATACATTGAAGATAATAGAGAGAGAGAGAGAGAGAGAGGGGGGGGGGGGGGGGGTAAAGAAAGAAAGAGACAGAAAGTGGGTGGCATGAGAAGGTTTGACAGGGTGTGTGTATGTGTGTGTTTGTGTGTGTGTGTGAGACAGAGAGAGAGAGGGGGAGGGGGATAAAGAAAGAAAGAGACAGAAAGTGGGTGGCATGAGAAGGTTTGACAGAGTGTGTGTATGTGTGTGTGTTTGTGTGTGTGTGTGAGAGAGAGAGAGAGAGAGAGAGAGGGGGGGGGGGAAGGGGATAAAGAAAGAAAGAGACAGAAAGTGGGTGCCGTGAGAAGGTTTGACAGGGTGTGTGTGGGAGGGTGAGAGTGTGGGTGTAGGTGTGACAGAGACAGGGGGAGGGCAGAAAGGAGCGGAAGAAGAGAGTGGCGATAATAATAGTAATATAATATTAATACTACAATGAGATAGAAACGCGTCATACAGTCATTAATGATGTTTATAAACACTGTAATACCCACCGCACAATTTGCAATAGCATTTACTATGAACACTTTAACTTCTTAATTCTGAGTGATCGATGATTTTTATAATCAAAATTCTGATGGAATTCACGCATTTTTGGAGGAGGAATAATTCAATCGGCTCACAATCGTAGTGACGTCATGCCAGTAGTGCGATTCTCTACGATTTTAAATCAATTCGGCTTTTTAAAATCCCTTTTAAGGGCCTTCAACAAGAATATCTTGTTTCTTTAGATTTGTAAACCTATATATTATTGTCATTTCTTCTAAAATCGGATGACAGGGAAATCGTATATTGTGCGTTTTAGGCTTAAATGACGATGTGATCCAGCAGGTCTGTAGCCAAGAAAATCAGATTATGAAAAAACAAGCAAACCAACATTTGCTTGTAAAGGTTTCAAATTAACGAAACGGATATCATTGTTTTCAAGAAGTTAAAAAAGGAAAATGGAATAAATAAATAACTTGCCAATTCTTTTTCAGAATGTGTCAAACCACATCAACTCTCCCCTTCCCCGTACACCCGTCCCTTCCCCGTTGCATATATACATTGCCATGAGTGAGGAGCCTTAACAAGCTGAAGATTGTATGAATTGTTTTTCTGTATTTCGGGAGGAGGGGGTGTTGTTGCACTACAAGCCGGCACACTCTTTTATTTGAAAGAGGGAGTATTCCCCTCTGTGCTCCGCTCCACAAATGTTCTCCATTTTTGTACTAAGAGGATGGAGTCAGCCCCAGACGAACCCATAGACAAATGCCAATAATTTTTTTATTTGGAGGTGTGTCCCCCCCCCCCCCATCCTCACAAACACACGCACGCTTAAATATCTAACATTTCTCTTTTATTAAGAAAAGGGGTGTTCCCCTGCGAATGCCAACGCCTCCCCCCTCACACGCACATACACACGCACACAAACGCACACACATTCACACACACACACACACACCACAATACAAGTCAACCATTTACCTTCTTTTGTGTTGGCAGCCTTAAATACAGATGCTTCAGAGAGAAAAGACTGGATAAAGAACTTGTTATTTTGCGGGATCGGTATACGACGCCGGGTCATGTAGCAAGGAAAGTTCTGTCGAATCAAGGAGGGAATGAAAGTAAGTTCATGTTATTAGTGGAGAAACCAACAACAACATAATAATCATCATCATTTTATTTTTACCGTTATAACCATTATTATTATCCTCATAGTCATCACCGATAAAACTATTATTACTCCTATTTACTCTTACTACGATTATATTTGTGATGGTGATGGAAGTTAAGACGATAAGGACGGATAAGGGTAGGCATATAATGATGACTGTAATTGTTAAATATAATGATGATGATGATGATGATGATGACGATGATAATAACAGTGAACTTACGACTACGCTGAGAGGACCAACATCGACACCCTCAATGCACATCGGACTATCATCTGCGGAGTCGCTTCCATTGTCCGAATCGCTGTCGGACGATTCTGGTGTTGAGATGGAGACTGGTATACCGTCAGCACTACCGTGTATCCGTTTGTATTTATTGATAGTCACGGTCTCTGCCAACAAGAAGACAACAAGCTCAATAATTACTTTATTCATTCTTGCACGAAATCAGATTTGGACCGGTTCTGTGCACTATTATTATTCACCTGAATGTCACCACGTTTGCAACGGGCTTATGAATCGGTCTTCGCCCACACGAAGACAAAAGCCCATTAATCAATTAATTTATTAATTATAGTAAGAGATCGTACTTAGACATGTTTTGTGCATTATTATAAGTCTGAATGGCATCGAATGGCGCAATCGAAATGACATTGCGTGGGCAGCGGGCTCAAGATTCACTGCTTAAGCTAAGCTCTATATTACGTGATCGCTTGATGGCGTGAGTCTGCGTAGAGAAGTAATGCACACAGGTCCGGGTTACTGCAAGTCACGTCACAGGAAGATCATGCTAAATGAGGGTTAGCCTAAGCTGATGAGACCTATAATTCTAGTTTGAAGGCACAGCCTCCTCATTCTAACTTATTGACAATAAGCTAAATCGTTGATACAATTGCGCATATAAGCAGAACCCACTGAAAACAAAGTAAAGCAAAGTAAATTCGAAGTTTCAAAGTACATTTTTATAACACTACAGTCGATTGGGGAAAATGAGTATTGTAAAACCGGTCACTTAAAGATTTTTACATTTTTCAGGCTCTTCACCATCATTTTGAAGCGCAATTTCTGTAGGGCTTCAAGATCACACCATATCATAGGCACTGATAAAACGTAGGGCCATGCATTTCAGATTTGTAAAACTGGAAACATCCTAAAAAACGCCTTTAAGTTCTCTGTCTGCGAAGTGGTAATTAGGTACTGTGTCGCGTACTGTTGGCGATGTGATCATGAGATGGCGCTGTGCAATACACAGTACGCTAGGGCAAAAAGTCCATCAGTGGAGTATCTCTTTAAAATACCAATTTAAATTTTGAGTAATTTTTTACCATGTGTTGAATACGAATTGGTCGATGTCTTAAAACGTTAAAGGGATAGTTGAGTTCTGTTTTCAGACCGCAAATGCCTCCAAAGTGCATGGTTATTGCTCCATTTCTTATCTATGACATTTCTAGTGCCCTTATAGAACTAAATTGCTATGAAGGTAATTTTAGACCCCAAAATGTGTGAAATTTAGCCAATACGATCATACCAATTCAGCTCCACTTTCCAAAAAATACGGTGACCGTTAATTATTTGATTAAAAATAACAATACATAGGCCGGCTGGTTGTGCGTAATATAACCGACACGAAAATGCCAACAAAAAAGCCAACATCGGCATTAGCTGGAATACGACGTAAAAGGCGGTATCTCATTTTTTCAGCGGCTTTTTCAAATTATGTAATATTTGTGGTGGTACACAAGTATTATAAATTGTTATATTTATGGATATTTCAGCCGCCTCTGAACCGATTTTGATCAAACAAAGATGATTTTGTCATTTAAATTGTATGTTATTTCAAATTTGACACTCAGTTTTTCATTATCTCACAAAAAATTATTTTGTGTAGCGCCCTCCGCAACAGAACTCAACTATCCCTTTAAGCTTAGAATAGTTAGTCATTGAGAAACGTACTTATACGTCGAACGTAGGTCGCCTTGTCGTTGTCGATCTCCATGAATCTGTCTTCTTCTTGTGGAAGTATCATTTGCACTTGAAGGGAAGAATCATAGGAATAGACAGGGTTCATTCTAAAAGCACTCTTAACGGGGATGATATCTATGAACGAGTTCTCCAATATTTCGCTAGGTAATTGTCGCCCGAATATGTTCTCCACAACTGGCCGGTTACCTGCAATCGAAATAGATAAAGTGCGTGTGTTTGTGTGTGGTATATGGGTGTGTGTTTGTGTGTGTGAAAGAGGGGGGGGTGTAAGATATGCTCATCATGAAAGCGCTATATAAGAACTAGGTATTATTATCATTATTATATCATGCAATTGAAAATACATCTCTTTGACGATCTCTTTTTTGTTTAATCAAGTGTAAAACTAATGGATAATTAAGTAGAAATCTATCAAGGTACCTTTTTTTCTGCCAATCTATTGCACTTTTGCGGTGTCATTCCACTCCATTTTCCCCTCCTAGTTTTTCTTGATTTCCCTCTTTAAAGTATTTCCCCTTTCTTTCTATAACCATTTCCATTATTCTGAAAGCGCTATTGAATTTAAAATGGCGACTCCCGTAGGAGGAGACTACAAACTTCAACGAGATTGTTTTCCTTGATAAGCATTCAGATCGGGGTCATTTTTTAACGATATATTTAACTGGCTCACATTTGTTCACACATCGTTTCGATTAAAGTTTTTTTTTACTTTCATTTTTCTTTCATGCACATGCCCAAACCAAAAACTTAATTTCCAAGTATACGCACGGGACAGAATAGCTTATGCTTGCATGCAAATGAAAGCAAAACCATAGTAGTTACTCCAAATGTTTATACTATCTCCTAATCTTATCTGTTCAAAAGTAAGGAAAAAATTGATGGGCAAGAAGAGAGAAAGAAAATACCCTTTTCGTTGAGATGAAAAGCAAACAGCCAAGTTTCCTCCTGTTTCCGCTTAATAACCTAAATTTTGAAGAAAGAAAATGGTTAATTTTAGGACTCGTGATTACAAATTTCTTTACCACGAATGTCGGTACGGATATAGAGCTTTCCTTTCGAAATGATTATAGTATTATAAGTTCATAGCCCTCTGTTTCCCTTGTTAACTTCAATAAAAACACGAAATAATCGTATCATAATATAATGCAAGAAAAAATGTGCCATTACTAGGTTGCAGGCCAGGAAGAGTGTGCCTTTGAAAGCGAAGTATCTTTGAAGCAAAGTGATTTACTTTCATTTCCTAATGAGCATGACAAGTGTGCTAGTAAACTCTCCAAAGTAAAAGGATTAAAAATTGGTCATCTAAATGTTCGAAGTCTACATGGGAAGATAGACGAAATTCGTTTGCTGACCTCTAAGATCAATCTTGATATATTATGTCTTACTGAGACATGGTTGCATGACATGATAGATGATAGCGTAGTTAAAATTGATGGTTATCACTTAATAAGAAGAGACAGGAATAACAGCACTAGAGGAGGTGGTGTCTGTATATATGTTCGTAATATCATTGTTTTTTCAGAAAGATATAACTTGTTAAGTATTAACGTAGAGGCCAGTTGGATTGAATTATCATTGAAATCTGATAAACTTATCATTGGGTGTTTATATAGACCACCGAATTCTGACTCTTCTTATTTTGATAATATGCTGAATATTTTGAGAAAGTAGCATCTGAAGATAAGGACCTGGTTATATTGGGTGATTTTAATTATGATTATAAGTTTGATGCTGCACGTTTTAGTGATAATCCTGTTAATATGATTGAAAATCTCTTCTCATTAACAAAATTGATCCATAAACCCACCAGGGTTACAGGCACCTCTTCTAAATGTTTAGACCATATTCTTACTTCTGTACCAGATAAGCATATACTAAGTGACGTAGCTAAGATATCCTTAAGTGATCATTATTTTATATACACATGTATAAATGTCAACAATACTTCTAAGAATGTTCATAATGTAGTACGATTTAGAGACTATAAGAATTTTAACGAGAATGCTTTTATTGATGATTTAAAACATTCTGACGTACTTAATAATAATTGTACTTTTTGTATTCCCCTACGAGAAAAGTGGGTTGAATGGAAACAGGCTTTTTTAAATGTTGTAACAAACATGCTCCTGTAAAAGAATGTCGGGTTAAAACTAGGCACTGCCCATGGATAAATTCTAATATTATTAAACTCATTTATAAAAGAGACTACTTAAAGAAAAAATATGATAGACTAAAAATTCCATATCTATTGACTGAATATCGAAATCTCAGGAATTCAGTCACCAAGCTCATACGAAAAGAGAAGAGAGAATATTTTGATTCAGTATCCGAGAGATACAGTAATGATAGTAAGAAGTTATGGAAGGAGTTAAGCAAAATTACTGGAAGGGGGAAAAAAGACTCTGTTTTACCATCTGATTTAGACAGTAATATATTGAACGATTATTTTGTAAATATTGGTAAAAAGATTTCAGAAACTTTCAGTAATCACGATTTATCATGGAACCACCCTGAAAGTATACATACCTTTGTCTTGAAATCAATTAGTCCCGGGAAAACTAAACATAATCTCTCTCTATTGTCGAAAGAGAGTAGCCTTGATATCTTAGAATTTGATAAAAAAATTACTTCAAATCTCAGCTCCTTATATTAATATTTCTCTTAATTGTCTTTTTAATGAAAGTTTAAATTGTGGATTTTTACCTAATGATTGGAAATTGGCCAGAACTACGCCTGTTTATAAAGGTAAAGGCGATAAAAATAATATTTCAAATTATAGACCCATCTCAGTTGTATGTCATATTGCTAAACTGCTTGAAAAGGAAGTTCAGTCTCAATTTTTATCTTACTTGCAGACTAATCATCTTATTAGTGTTGACCAATATGCTTTTTTGCCAAATCATTCAACGAATACATGTTTACATAGAGTCATTGATGACTGGTACGAATCTTTTAATGAAAAGGAAAAAGTTGGTGCATGTTTTCTTGATATTTCTAAATGTTTTGATTGTATTGACCATGAACTTTTGTTGTCCAAATTGAATAAGTATGGTATTTTAAATACTGAACTTAAATGGTTTTCTAGCTTTTTATCTGGTCGGAAACAAGCAGTTTATTGTCATGGTAAACTGTCCGAAACAAAGGACATAACTATAGGAATTCCTCAGGGGAGTATTTTAGGCCCCTCACTCTTTCTTGTTTTTATAAATGATATAACTGATTGCTTACGATTAAGTACATGTAATATATACGCTGATGATGTTGTCTTATATGTTTCTGATATGGATATTAATGTCATTACATCTAAGCTCCAAGCAGATTTGTATGCTATAAATGAATGGTATTGTAAAAATAGATTACGTATTAATACTAATAAGAGTAATATTATGCTGTTGAGTAGTAACACATGAGGTAACGATGAATTAAGTCTGAAGGTACATATTGATACTGAAACAATAGAACAAGTAAGAAGTATCAGATATTTAGGGATTGAAATTGATGATAGATTATCTTGGGATATCCACATTAAATCTCTTACCAAATCATTAAGTTATAAGATTTTTACTTTGAGAAAGCTCAGTAAATTTTTAAGCTCTTCCATTTTAAATAAAATATACAAATGTACCATACAGCCAATCTTAGATTATTCTTGTTCCGTATGGGGAAACTGTTCTTTACAAAACAGAAATATTCTTTTAAGACTGCAAAAAAGAGCTGCACGTATTGTCGTAGGGAATTTTGATTATAATGTAAATAGCTTGAGTATAATAAATTCATTAAAATGGCAATCCATTGACACTAGACGGGACTATTTTTTATCATGTATAATGTACAACTGTATTCATGGAAAAGCCCCAGTACGATTATGCAATGAAGTGGAAATGGTTTTTGACAGACATGGTTTTAACACTAGACTTGCCAATACGCTAAATGTTGTTTTACCTAAGCCTAATCTTGAATGTTTTAAGAATTGTTTTAGATACGCTGGAGGTAAAATCTGGAATAGTCTACCTTCTGCTTTTCAAAATGCTAAATCTATCGATGTTTTTAAACGTATGTACAAGGACAAATTTTTTAAACCTGTGTAATACAATGCCGATTCATTTACTGCTTTGACATGGCTTATCTTTCTCTCTCTCTCTCTCTCTCTTTCTCTCTCTCTCTCCATTTCCCTCTCCCCTCTTTCTTTCTTTCTTTCCCTCTCCCTCTTTCTTTCTTTCCCTCTTTCCTCCTTTACTTTTACCAGTTTCCTTATATCTTCTCTCCTCTTCTATTTTTAGGGTGATATTTTAATGCCTTTTATTAAATGTGATTTGATATTTTTTCCGCTGTTAATTTCATTTATTTCATTATCGTTTTTGTTTGTTTTTGTTTTGTTGTGCTTTTTACTATATTTAATGCGTATTATGCTTATATGTTAGTTTTATACTGTTCTTACCTTTGCCTGTGAGCTTTGGTGATATTCGTTATTTATATTTCCGTGTTTTTATCCTGTTCAGGACCATGATGTAAAACAGATTTTGTATCTACAATGTATATCTGATTCTTGATATCCTGATTAAATATATTTCAATAAAAAAAAATAAAAAAAAATAATATTGATGATAATGAAGATAGATGAATACAAAATAATGAATATACAATTTAATAAATATTGTCTTTAAAACGAAATTAAATTATTTTAAATGTTTATAAAAATATTAATACTAACGATATTTATAACAATAATAATAATAAGTATCATAATAATAATAATGATTATAATACTTATAAGTTCAATGATAATAATGGAAATAAATATAATGATAATAATATTAGCAATAAAAAAAAAAATCATAATTGTAATCATTATAATAACAACGATCTTAGTAAATAATAATGCCCGAAAAAAAGATCAATCAATCACTCTGATAACGACGATAATAAAAATATACTGTAAATCAACTAACAATAATGTGAATAAAATAAAATGTATTCTTACCAAACCAATCTGAGTGCCAATATCTGAGAAACATTCTAGAACTGCTAGCTGGTTAACACTGCTTATGTCTGACTGTGGGTTATTGATGCTTATTAGTTCATCATGGTTTCTGCAAAGAGGTAACGGGAGGAGATACATTATGGCGAGAAAAGCATAGTTTTGTTCAAAGAAGACGACAGACTCGATGCATGGCTGATCATCAACGAAAAGGAGTTAAGTATGTGAACTCTGTCTGTCGGTACGGCAGGCAACCAGTGAAAACGAATTCGTTAAATCAAATTATAGAAATTCAGGCATCACTTAAAAAAACAGAACTTTGTTATTCCTGGCTCATTTTTCCTGAGGTTTCATATAAAAGGGCAAAAAATAAACTTTCTAGAAATGTGATTTTCTTTTTGAAATTTAGATACCGTCCGCCAAATGACTTTTTGGTTTCCTCTCTCTAAATTTGTCTTAATTCCTAATGCGTGAAATATGCATCATGTGAGCCGCATCACATGACAGAAGAGGATCTAAGCTTTACAAATAGGTGTCATTTATTATTTATAAATATGATTAAGTTATGATAAAACATCGATGATTCTCGGCTTCGTTTTTCCTGGGACGCACTGCATATATAAGATTAAATAGACATATAAATTATATACATAATATAGACCTTGTACGTTTTATTTTAAATATATAACTACAACTCACAGTTATAGCTTTCAACAGAACCAGAGGTCCCTTCATTTTTCACTCTTCCTATTAGTTCAGTCTATTAATTTAGTGTGTTCAAACAAACTGATATGAGGTACTCACCTTCTTTTTTCTTTTTGTATTGTTTCTGTTAATATAAGTATTTTTAATTTGTATCATTCATTTCGTGAAATCATGACTGCAAAATGTGAAATAAAAGTGAAATATGAGACAATAAACTGAAAACTGAAATTTAATAAAGAAGTTACATATCCTATTTACCTCAACCCAACAGTTCTTGCCAGTCCGGTGCCATCTAGGGCCCTGAACTCATGACCACCCTGACGAGAGTAAAGAAGTGCTCCAAACTTCGTGAGAGCATGAGGTTTACCAGGAATATACTGGACAAAGATCTCCTGAAACGCAAGCCCATGTGAAGATTCGATCTGAAAATGTAAACAACCAAATAGATATTCAGTAGGTTTACGGTTGCACCATTTGAGAAAGAAGAGGGGGTGGGGGGGAGGGGAGTAGTTAGTCCTGAAAAGGAGTACTGTCGGTAAGTGTGTGTGTGTAGTGTAAACTTCCTTTCTTGAGTGTATGTGTGTAGTGTAAACTTCCTTTCTCGAGTGTATGTGGGTAGTGTAAACTTCCTTTCTCGAGTGTGTGTGTGTAGTTTAACCTTCCTTTCTCGAGTGTATGTGTGTAGTGTAAACTTTCTTTCTTGAGTGTATGTGTGTAGTGTAAACTTCCTTTCTTGAGTGTAAGTGTGTAGTGTAAACTTTCTTTCTTGAGTGTGTGTGTGTAGTGTAACCTTCCTTTCTCGAGTGTATGTGTGTAGTGTAAACTTTCTTTCTCGAGTGTATGTGTGTAGTGTAAACTTTCTTTCTCGAGTGTATGTGTGTAGTGTAAACTTCCTTATTTGAGTGTATGTGTCTAGTGTAAACTTTCTTTCTCGAGTGTATGTGTGTAGTGTAAACTTTCTTTCTTGAGTGTATGTGTGTAGTGGAAACTTTCTTTCTCGAGTGTATGTGTCTAGTGTAAACTTTCTTTCTCGAGTTTATGTGTGTAGTGTAAACTTCCTTATTTGAGTGTATGTGTGTAGTGTAAACTTTCTTTCTCGAGTGTATGTGTGTAGTGTAAACTTTCTTTCTTGAGTGTATGTGTGTAGTGGAAACTTTCTTTCTCGAGTGTATGTGTCTGGTGGAAACTTTCTTTCTCGAGTGTATGTGTGTAGTGTAAACTTCCTTTCTCGAGTGTATGTGTGTAGTGTAAACTTTCTTTCTTGAGTGTATGTGTGTAGTGTAAACTTTCTTTTTTGAGTGTATGTTTGCAGTGTAAACTTTTTTTCTCGAGTGTATGTGTGGAGTGTAAACTTCCTTTCTTGAGTGTATGTGTGGAGTGTAAACTTCCTTTCTTGAGTGTGTGTGTGTAGTGTAAACTTCCTTTCTTGAGTGTGTGTGTGTAGTGTAAACTTTCTTTCTGGAGTGTAAGTGTGTAGTGTAAACTTTCTTTCTTGAGTGTGTGTAGTGTAAACTTTCTTTCTTGAGTGTGTGTGTGTAGTGTATACTTTTTTTCTCGAGTGTATGTGTGTAGTGTAAACATTTTCTTTCTTGAGTGTATATGTGTAGTGTAAACTTTCTTTCTCGAGTGTATGTGTGTAGTGTAAACTTTCTTTCTCGAGTGTATGTGTCTAGTGTAAACTTTCTTTCTCGAGTGTACGTGTGTAGTGTGAACTTCCTTTCTTGAGTGTATGTGTTTAGTGTTAATTTTTTCTTGAGTGCGTGTGTGTGTGTTTGTTTGTCTGGCTGTCTTTGTTCAAAACACTCTTTATTCCTCACCCACCAACTTGCCGCAAGTGAGATCTGGCAGTATTGTAAAGATTGTCTGATGTTCAGTCATGCATGCTGGGATTCAAATGAAAATGGTACCGTATCATGTACTGGGAGGATAACTCTATCAAGACATATCATATCAAATATGCATACTTCAAACAATACAACTTTTAAAAAGTGGGACATTTTTTCTGACTCACTCTGTATAATCATGTAGGACTTGTTTGTTATTTCCTGTATTTGTAATGACCCCTTTTTTGTGAACAAGGCCTCTCAGAAAAACAGTATAAAAACAATACTGTGAGAGCTACCCTGTTTAAATAAATAAAATAAATAAATAAATGGGGAGAGAGACATTTTTGCTCAAAATATTCGCCCCCCCCCCCCCCTTGGTAAATATAGTTTTAACCTTCAAAATAAATGACGAATAGGTTTGAACTGATAACTTTAAATATTTGATTTACTGATTAATCTGATTCTCAATAATATTTGCTTTGCTTGATATTTCTAGTTGTTTCCCACTACCACCCATGCGGAATGTGTACGTGCACTCATTGTCAATAGGGGCTTTTAGATTGAGTGGACGAGAACACGACGAACGCCGACTGATCATGCGTGTCAACGTACTTAACTGCCCATGTTGACTACAATTAGAAATCTTTTAGATTGCATTCGACGATATATATGCATGCAGGAAGTATTTAAACACTATGAATACCACGGACAAAGAAAGAGGACACAATATACAGTTCCTCATTCTACCATCAACAAAAGAACATCCCTTCACTGTTATTATGTAAAAATGTGTAGAACAGGTGAATAATATGCATGTGACACCTGTTCTACACATTTTTACATAATAGCAGGGAAGGGATGTTCCTTTAATTGTCTACCTTAGGAACTGTATATTTTATGCGCACGCGGCATATTAGTAGCTTTGGCATGTAAAGGCGCTATATAAATATCAATATGTATGTATGTACTAGAGTTAGGAAAATCAAGGTTGACGCATTCTCGATCGCCGACTGAGACGACGTAACGCATGCGCAGTGCCTTAAAATGACGTCACACGTTGCAGTCAAAGCTGTCGACATGCAAATCTAAAAGTCCCTAATACCCGGAAGCAATGGTAATCATTTGTGGTGTGCTGTCCATTGTATCACAAGCGGAAGGGGATAAAACGCAACCATACGGGGGCCTTCACATTTTGTCAAAGAAGGATAAAAACGTGTTGTTAATGATTCACAGCAAACAATAGTTTTCAGATAAACAATTCCAATTCCATGTGTGTGTGTGTGTGTGTGTGTGTGCGTGTGTGTGTAGTGTAAACTTTCTTTTAGAGATAGAGAAAGCGAATGCTCAATAGTACCTAAAGGGTCGGTGATTCAAAGGGAATGAGGGATGTCTCCACCTGGTAAATATGTAAAAGGGGTCGTCCCCCTCCGCCAGATATATTGAAAAATCGCTAAAAAAAAATTGTCTTAATGAACGATCTGTCTCACCTAATTGAGAGGACTAAGAAAAGGACTTAGGACAACAAAGTTAAAACTACAGAATGCTAATTTTCTTGCGCGGTCACTGGGCTCCCTCGGAGAGAAAAAAAAGTATTTTTCAAAGTTCATCGGCTGAAATTCGCTAACGCAGTGCTACGTCAGGGGATTGACGCTTCGTGTGGAGCAGAATAACAAACAAAAAGAGTATGCCCATGGAGGATCGATTCCAGGTTTCTCTTTACTTCCTCCTTCTGTTATGCGACCTTCCTCTTTCCTGTTGTTGTTCTAATTTAGTTTTATGACACATGTGCATAAAGCCAGAATAATTACAAATGGAGTAATAATAGAGGACGTTGTACGGGACTGCAACTTAAGGTCAACGTTTGGTTCAAAATACTCTCGCTTTTGGAAGCTTTGGAAATGCACTCTGTTTATCAGGCTAAAGCGTCAAGGGAGAGGCGGGGATGGCAGGGGGGGCGATATAAATATATGAGTATATATGTTTATATGTATTCATCGCTATTGGTGAATACAGAGATTGAAATATATCTATTACACTTTCAACGCTATCATATTCCCACTCTCTCTTTACTTTTTTCGTTTGTAACTTTGGGCCTTTAGCTATTCACCGCGGTTCTTACCGCAGTGTTATTACTCCATATAACTACTGCTTCTTGATTGCTTACTTACAAATATACACAGGCTATCTAAAAATAAAAAAACAATAAAAAAGCAAACAAACAAACTCTACCGTCATTGGTCATCATGCATTGAAGGAAAACAAGGTCTTCCCGGTCTCTTACGGTTTTAACAGCACTTTACCGGGATGATTACCGCCGTGCTGCGGTCATCTACACTGCTTATTCCCCTGTTCATAGGAGAAATGTGTTTGTGCCGACTTAATATAATTAATACTTGTCGACCTACCACTTACCATCTCTTCACCATCACGAGGTTCACAGGGCGTCTTCATCTCTGTTGCGGTTATAACCGCGGCTTCCTCGTGTGCGTTACTCGCCTCGACCACTTCTTTCTGTTTCGCCTGCTTCGAAGAAATAGCAGCTTCGGAACTCTCAGTGTAATCTCCACGCTTGTTTGAATCAACTCTCTCTGGCTCTTTGGACTGCCCAGCTTGACTTTGATCACCCGACGCTAACGGTTCCACCACGGGAGCGCCCCCCGACTGTTGATGGTGGGTAGATGCCGCACTTCGCTTTTTTGATGCTTTTCCTCCCATAGTGAGTTATGCTTCTATGCTCTTATTTTGAAAGTCGAAGATGAAGTGTTGCGAGTTTTACTACACAGTGTACATGTACCAACACATTTGACAAGCCAGTTTTCAAGTTGTGCGCATTGATTTGTGTTGTCATCACTGCTAGAAAACCCATCGACCAATGGGGAGAAAGGGGTAGGCCTAGCTACCTTGCATCAGTGCATGCGAATGTTTATTCTGTGAATCAGGATCAAAAACATTTACGCAGAATCTCATATTCATACAATATCTTTTTTTTCACTCGCCGGAAAAAACACACACAGGCACATTAGACCTATCTCTCATTTTAGGGGCACGAATAACTCTGAAAAATTGAACCCTGTGAGTACGTACCATTGTAATCGTTAACGTGATTTTGACTGTTAAAACTGTGTTTTCCCCTTCTTCTTCTTTTCGGAAAGTATATTTAGCAGTGACACCTTTTTCAGGGAAGTCATGCATTCAATAATCACTATGACATATTTGTGTTTTGTATGTGGATTTATTCCCATTTCTATTCGCAAGAGACAGACATAGCAGGGGATGCAGCAAAAGCTTTTAAAAAATCATCTAAGGCTGCTCTCATGGTGAAAATATTGATGAAATAAACAAATAAAATATGAATGATCATTATTTTGGAACTAAAGGAATGGAACGATAAAGCATATAAAATTTCGAAAATGTGAATAAAATACAAAATCATAGATACAAAATTCGATACTATGTCAATGTATCAATAACATCGATCCAAATACACACAATTTATGTTGTGTATGTTGTGTAACACGGATAAGCTCGATTTCAGTTGAAACAAATATCTCTCTCTCTCTCTATATATATATATATAAATATAAAGTTCTGAGAATATACAAACCTATTTTGTCAAGAATAAACCATCCCTTAATAAAAAGATATAATAATTAATACCCCCCCCCCCAAAAAAAAAAAAAAAAAAAAAATTGGGGGCAAACATGGGCACTCTGGCCACACCTTTACTTCACATTGAAGACACACTCCTGCAAAGACCCCCCCCCCCCCCACACACACACACACACGCACAACAATAATCTGTTTGAAGACAAATATAATGGCACTGAATGAACTATGTCAACATATATATCAACGGGGAATCTGGCCAGATGATTGGACAAGAAGCCAGTTAATAACGAAGAAGACTACAAAGGCAATCAGATGCGAGGATCACCGCACTACCAGCCTGGTATTACATGCTTCGAAAGTATTGCTAAAGGTACTCCACCACGAATTGAAGCGAGGTCCAAAGATTATATTAGAATTGACCAATTTGGCTTTCGTAAAGGGGTTGGTACTCGACAAGCAATCGCTGTAATGAGAATACTAATTGAGAGATGTATACAGCATGATCAGGACCTATATATCTGTTTTGTGGACTACGAAAAGGCATTTGATCGTGTCAATTGGACTAGGTTAATGGAAGTGTTGTCAGCCATTGGTGTTGATTGGAAAGACTGTAGACTGCTTGCACCCTTGCACATGTCTCAGACTGCTAGCGTTCGCGTTAACCAGCAGTCATTAAACGTGGAACACGTCACAGATGCTTTCTGTCTCCTCTTCTTTTCAATATCTATGCAGAGGCAATGGTAAGAGAAGCTCTGGCAATGTTAGAATAAGGAGTGATCGTTGGAAGAGTGTTAACTAAATATGTACGGTATGCTGATGATTTTATTTATTTATTTATTTATTTCTGATATTTGTACAGGGTGGCACATATCACCAACTTGGTGGTCTTCCATGAGGCCCTGTTTGGTAATAATACAAACAAATAACAGCATCAACAACAAAAAAAAACAAAAAAATACACAATCGTATAAACAGGTAAAATGCAAATGAATTGGTATCCCCTTGAAATAACTGATCATTCAAGAATCATCCTCGACCATTTACAAGAAATAGGTGAATGGAATTTTAAAATTAAATACAATTAAAAAAGACGTTCATTGAATAATCTGATATAGCTTAACGCACGGGATACCAAAATTGTTATATACATATTTACATTCAATTGCTCTTTAACTAATACAGTTAGGTTGTTTACAAGATAGCTGAAAAGGGATACATTACATGTATGAATACATGATATAACGATAACCGAGTCAACCAACTTTCACAATTTTGCAAATAGGAAAAAAATGGTTACCTTCGCACGAAACCACCAAAAGTTCACTTACACGTCATTTACAGATAACAGGGCTTTTAGAGCGTGTATAAAAATGTTCAAAGTAGGTGACATTTTGACAGGACTTTTAGGTTGGTTCCATAATCTAAATCCAGAAATTAGAGGACTATTTTTATAAGTGTCCGTCCTAAATTTGGGTACACATAATGCATCCCTTACAGCATGTCTTGTGTTGTGATCATGTAGTGAACTAACATGAAGTAAATCTTGTTTTAAGTATGTTGGTGCCATGTCTTGCTTTGATTTATACATCATCACTGCACGTCCAAACTGGAAACGTGTCTGAATAGGCATCCATCCTAAGCGACTAAACATATCATTTGAAGATACTTCAAATCCTTCTCCCAGCACTACACATGCAGCTCGTTTTTTTAACCTTTTGTAATTTAATCGTTTGTCTTTGAAATCGCTCAGACCACACCGAGGAACAATAATCAAAATGAGGAAGTACGAAGTATGATCAGGCCACGCTCGCTGTCTTTGCGGATGGTCTTCAAAGACAGATGGTACAGATGGACCAAGGGGTCAGGAGCTATGGCATGAGAATCAACGTGAAGAAAACGAGGGTGAGGGATTTTTTTGGAGAAACTTCTTGATCATTTTAAAGCGTTTTTTTTTTAGGGCTTCAATATTACACCAAATCACAGACATTGATAACACGTAGGGCCGTGCATCTCAGATTTAACATTGTGATACGATGCCTTTAAGTGGGAAAATAACGACTATTAGTTGTCGAATCGACTTAAGTGCTACCAAGTCAGTAAGTAATAGTCTGATGTTCAGACCATTGTACCGAGTGGTCGTATTTTTTGTGCTGCATAACGAATCAATCAGTTTAATTTTGACCATTACAAGAAGTGGATTATTGATGTAGACAAATGCTCATGTACCATTTACAGCTCATTATATGTATGTTATTACCAAAGAAGAACAAAAAGCCAGTCAGTCACTCGATAGAGTCGACAGTGAAGTCTAACAGGTAAACGGGTTTCCTTGCATAATTTGAATATTAGGACACTGCTAACATTTAAATTTCACAGATAGGTCATACATGACATATTCATAATTCCTGCAAAGTTCTACATAATTTGATGTTTGCTGGAAAAAGGAACTTAGTATCTTTAACAGCTTGACGTCAAGATCAAACTGATATTGGATTAAAAGATTGACGACAGGCCGGTTGCCTGAGCAGGGGAAAACACAACAATACATAAGGAACTAGATAAATTTAAAAACAGAGAAAGGAATAACTGAATAACTGATTAGCCAATTATAAATAAATATGTATATAAATAGACCCATACACACAAACATATTTACGTTAAAAAATGAAGGAAAATAAATAAATTGAAACAAATGAATAGACGAATACAATTATATTCATAAAGATAACTCCATGTATAAAGTAATCAAAAATACCTCTTCATATTATCTTACTAACAGCAAAAACATTTTCTAATTAAAGACATTTTCAAGCCCCCTTTTGTTTCAGGGAAGTTCTAAATTAGTATTATTTGGGATATATTACATGGGATATAGTACCTTTAACTGAAGCACACTTAAAACGCAGGTCTGAATTCAACCAGATAAATTGATACACGCCGTTCCGCTCTACACTTCTTTTTGACAAAATAACGCTGGATCAAAGTATTGTATCTAATTGGTTTATAAACAGAAAAACAAATCTTATAAAAAAGTGTATTATTTTTATACATGCCGTTTCCTAATAAATCCGTCCCTTTGCACTGTTGTGGTTGTTGTGAGGGAAGTACAGAGGACAGAAAACTTATAATTGCTCCAGGGTGGTTCAAGGCAAAACAACCGCAATAACCATATGTACCTAATGAAGTATGTCGCCATTCAGCAAAAAAAAAAAATGATTGAAGGGAAAATTGACAATTACACTGTGAGTTTTCTCATTCTTTGAAGATCAGTTTGAGAGAATAACATAATAATAATGATATTTGCTTATATAGCGCCTAACACTTACTTTATCAGAAGTCTCTAAGCGCTCTACTATAATGCGGCATACTTACCCTGGCTTTAGCAGTGCAGCCGTTACGCGCGCTGCGTTTCAAGGAATAAATTCCTACCAGGTACCCATTTACATAGTACAACATTCATCAAAGTGTTACATGTAGTTCAAAAACTTAATCACATCTGCTGATTTGTATATTAAGTGCATGCAATCTTCAACCAAATTTTCTGTTTCTTCTTTTTCTTAGTTTTCTCTCTCTTTCTCTCATTTTATCCTTTGCCTATACATAAACATTCGAGTCGGAACAATTTCTGACCCATCATAAAACAAAACAAATTCAATAACAAAGAGAATAGAAAAATGTTTCAATTTAGGTACCCTTGTAATAAAGATAAAAGAAGATGGGGAGGGGAGGGGCACGAAAAGAACTTTGCTCTCGCACATCTCTCCCACTCTCTCTCTTTATCACTCCCTCGCTCCGCTCTCTCTTTCTCCCTCTCGCTTTGGCCGTGTAAACATTAACCAGGAAACATAATGTTTACATACGAGCACCTTTTATGTCAAAGTTGTTGTTTATTTTTCTAAAGTTTTCCCCCTTTGAATATTTGTATGAAGTTTATTTTTCTAAAGTTTTCCCCCTTTGAATATTTGTATGAATAGCATACTATTGTTGCCGTTCCGCTCTTTACTTCTGTTTGACAAAATAACACTGGATCAAGTATTGAATCTAATTGGTTTATAAGCAGAAAAGCAACTCTTCTGAAGTGCATTATTATTATACTAACTAATGTTACTTCATTTAAAACCAAACTCAAACGTTTAATAATAACTACCTATGTCAAATAAACATGTAATTTCATCTCTCCTCCCTACGTTTTCTTATTTCGCCTTTTCCTTTTCCCCTTTACCTGTATGTTTAGTGCTTAATGTTTTTTTATTTTTTATTTATATAACTAAGTTTGTTTTATCTCATGT